ATATATATATATAATTTTTTCCGAGCTAAAATCATGATTTTCTCGAAAAAAAAGCAAAAGTGCAATTTACTGCTTTGTACAGGGATTATATTTTAATGCTCCAGAATAATCACAAAAAGATGATCATCCGTGAAATACATATGTGTGTCTCTCCTTGTTAGTTAAAAAAGTTTGTTAGTTAATTTTTTAATTTAGTTTTTTAATTTAAGTTTAAGTAATTTAAATTTAAGTTTAAGTTAAAAAAAAGTTAATTTGAAATCATAAAATAAAATTAATTTAACTTTTAACTTTCCAATTATTTTTTTTCATTAATTTAATTCAATTAATATCACTATAGAGAGATTAAATTTTATCTTAACTTAGTTAAAAAAAAATTTACTTTACTTAAATTTACAAGACTGTTAACTTTAACTTAACTTAGTTAAAAAAAAGTTAATTTATCCAACCTTGCAAAAATGTGTTATGGTATATAATAAAATGTAATAAAGTAAGATCAAGTCAATATATAAAATAGAGATTGGCGTGTAAGCAAATGTGATAAAGATGATCGTTACTGTCTAAAATACTGTTGTAAAATATGAAAATCAAACTAAAGGAAAGAAATATTATCGGAAAAGTAAAAATAGGAGTGAGGAAAAGAAAAAAGAAATTAGAAAGGGGAAAGAGATTGTATAATATGAAGATAGGATTCAGGTAATGATTCCGTGTCATTATGCTTATTTAAGGCCTTTTTGTCTTTTTATATAAATCATTTCTGAAATTAGTCTTTTGTTATAAAATGGTTCACTACCTCTAAAATTTTAACACTTTTCTAATCAAAATCATGTTTAAAATTAATTCGATGCTCAGAAATAACTGACGGAGATCCTATTTTTTTTCTTTATATCTGATATATATTAACGTAATCTAGCTTTTAATTTTATTTACCAACACTTGCCTCACAATTCTCACAAGAGATTTTGTAAATTACATCTTGGTGGGAGTATAAGTCGATGTGGTTTTTACCTCTTCTCTCTTATGTAATTTTTTAAGGTATTAGGAATAAGATAATTTGCAACCAAGATAGTGAACCAACACACATCTTATAACAAAAGACTAATTTCAGAAATTTCATATAAAGAGACAAAAACAGAGTTTAAATAGATATAATGACACGGAATCATTATCTAAATCCTATCTTTTATATTATACAATTTCTTTCCTTTTCTTAGTTTTCTTCTCCTTTTCCCCACCTCTATTTTTATCTTTTCCATACCGATAATATTTCTTTCCTTTAGTTTGACTCTCATATTCTTATTTTATAATAGTATTTTAGACAGTAACGATCATCTCTATCACATACGCCAACCTTTATTTTATATATTAACTTGATCTTATTTTATTATATTTTACTTTATTATATTTTATTATATACCCTGACTACAAAATATATTTCACTTATAAAGGTATCAATTTTATATTTATTATATACACATTTCTCTTTTTTACACTTTATATTTTAAATTCCATAAATCTAATTTACTTTTTATTTTACTTAATACATTTCTGTATATTAACAGATTTTTCCATTATTTTATTCGATTGACTTTGTAAGATATATTGTAAGATATATTATCAACTGCTACGAACTAATTTTGCACAAGATACGTTCTTCTCAAGAAATATTTTTATTTTTATTTGTATATAAATATTACAAATATTTATGCAACTTTTACGCTTTGAATTCAATAAAAAATTTAAATGTTGCATTAAGCAATTGGATGCTTTCTTTAACGAGATTTTTATTATTGTGCAACATATGAAAAAAGTATATCAAGGCTAATTCTATAAAATCGATCGAAACTACTCGAAACGCGAAAGCTGCTTTATTACGTAACTACAAATCAAACTTAGTTTTTTTGAAACACGTATATCTATTATATAAGATATTCAATAAAATTTTTATATTATATTTTTATATTAATGTGTTAATTATTATTATTTGTGCCAAAACATTTTATTTTATGCCAATACTTCTTCAAAAAACAATGTAAATAAAATTTCGAATTTTATAATAAAAATATACCGATTGGTTTATTTTGTATATAATATCTTTTGGATTTAAAACAATGCATAATAAATAAAATTTTGAATTTTATAAGATAATGAAAATATCGATTGGTATATATTATATATAATATCTTTTGGAACAACGTTTTTGCTTTAAATTTTAAAATATTCATTAAAAATGCGATTATATTAGCTTAAGAACTGATAATTTAGCTAATATTTGATTAATATAATTAATGAAAAACCAAAATATATAGAATATATCTAATTTAGAATTAAAATATTGAAGCCAATATATAAAATATATTTTATGAACATAACTTTTATTGTTGCTATCGTTTGTTAGTTGAAGGCTGGAGCTCCGAGACAATTATGATCTGGCGTCTAATTGACCTGAATTGGTATTAGGTAAGCGATACCATGCATTTGTTACACAAATCATTGACGAACATATTCTTACGCACGCAAAGCGATATATCTTCCAAGAGATGGATTCTCTAAATTGAAGATATCAATTGTAATTTTATAATTATTATAAATTTATTTTTTAGAGATAAAAAATTAAATTTTCCTATATTAAATTTTAATGTATATTTATTTATAATGTATAAATTTTTAAAACTTTTTTAAAGCTTTTTTTTATAAAAAATGCTTTTAAATGTCATGTTTAACTCTTCGATTCGAAGATTATACTCTTATTATAATTCTCATGTCATGTTTAACTCTTCGACTTGAAGACTATACTCTTATTATAATTCTCTAATTCATTACATAAATCTTCCCTCTCGTCAGATTTTAATAAATAAAATTATTTCTAAAGTGCAATCAATTATGTTTTATTTTATTATGAAAGAATATAAATTACAGTATAAATTATAGAGAGATTAGAGAAAAAAAGATTTCATTTTTAAACGGAAATTTTTCGTTTAGTTTTAACATTATTAGTTATCTGTTTCTGAACGATAACATGATGCATGTATAGATTTCGCTTAATCGAATAAAGCTTGCGCCGGATCATAATTGCATTGAACCTTAATGTATTCACACTGTAATTAAAAAATGGGTAATTACAAAAGTTATAAATTAATTACAAACACATGCTCGCGGACGTTCATAACATTCCATTTTTCTCATTTAACTGAAAGTAATTATTTAATAAACGAATTTTGAGAGGGAAAATATAATAACTGACGATTCTGAAAGTAAAATATACTTTATTTCTCATAAGAAGTGTTTTATGAGTTATTTTTCCTAATATAACTATTTTCGAAATATATATACATATAAATATTTAATATTACATATCTAATATAAAAAATTTAATATTATATAATATTAAAAAATTATATAATATTATATACATAATAATAATATGTAATTTTTACTGGCTATAGCATATTTTATTACATAAATAGAAAAAGAAAACTCAATGTAAAAATTATATTATAGTTGATAAGGTAATTGAATATCTCTGTCAAGTCTTCCAAAAAATAAGGAAGTAATTATTCTAATCTTTTAATTTTTTAACTTTAATTTCAAATATCAAGACTATAAGCTAATACAAAAAAAAATAGTAATCAACTCTCTATTATATCAATAGCTCTTAATGTCAATGACTGCATGTTCATCAAGTCGCTACGGTAACATTTCCACTGACTTTTCTCGAGATATCGATCGACACGATGTGGAATATAACGATGCGTACTGACAGTGTGCTATTAGTACTATGATGTGATATTAATAAGTAATGCATAATTACTAATTATGTCAGCTAATTTGTAATATGCCGTGAGATATTACAAATCTCGTTAATTTGCGAGAACTTTTTGTCACTTGTCAAAAAATTTGCAGAATCGAACTGAAATGTAGGACATTCGGCTAAAAAAATCGGCTGCGTTAGTAGTGCGCAGACGCTAACACTATCCAGTATAGAAATCAGACCATACCATTTCTGTGAGATGGTAACGGAGACGGCTTGTATTGATTTTGGCGGAAGTCGATCGACTTCAACAGAAAAGACATAGAGAAAGCAGTGAAAAAGAGATAAATAATGGAGAGAAAAGGAAAGACCAAATAGAAATATAATAAACATAAATGGATTAAAATTATATGAAAAAAATTGTAAAAAGAATATGTATCTTATTATAATAAATAAAATATCAAAACATTCAAGAAAAAAAATTTTAAATCGCGATATATATTTTCGATCGCTTAATAAAATACCCGTCAGTTATTTAAAAGAATCATCCTATTGAAAGCTTCTGATACCTTCACTCGTATATTTTCTCCTGTTCCTATTATATCTCAAGCGATAGAATATAAAAATAGAACAACGGAAGTCTCCAGCGAGGTCGCACCTCTCCAATGTACGGATGAAGGAAACCGCAAACTTTGATTTCGTTGCATAAAAAAACTTCAAACTAAAGCAGCAGATAATAATAATAGTAAACTCTTTCTATGATTTTCTATGATTTTCCTCCTTACGAGAAAGAGAATTTCATTATTATATATAAATCTTTTATATTATAATATATAAAAAAATAATAAATTATAATTATTAATAGCTAAAAATATAAAATAAAAATTATATTGA